TACATTTCAGTGTGAGTGAAGCGCTGCGCAAACTGTTGGCGCTATATAAATCCTGTATAATAATAATATTCTTTAAAAACCAGTACAGTGGTCAGATCAGTTTTGTTCTGTTGGAGAGCAGCGTTTCTCAACCTTTTTTCAGTCATGGCACCTTTTATACCAAACCATTATCCTAGACAGGGATCAGGGACCCCAGGCAAAAAGACAAAAAAAATTAACCCCTTCACATCAAAGTCCCCCCCCTTTCACATCAGAAGCCCCCCTTACAATCTGGAACCCCATTTACATCACAAGCTGGGTTATTACAAGTGATCTTGGCGACATCACTGAGATCACTTGTAAAGGAGCAGCGGCTTCCCCGCTCTACATTTAGCCGTGCTTGCCCAAAGCAGGGCTAAATGTAAAAAACAACTACCCGCCCGGTGACCGGAACTGCATGCCCCGAGCATCAGGAGATTCTTCACCCCTGGCGACTCGAGGCCGGGCCTTGTGGAAATCCAGCCCTGTATGTAGAGCTGGGGGAGGATTGAAGGATCATACTATAGCAGGGTTAGACAAATTCCGGCCCTTCAGTTGTGGTGCAGCTACAAATCCCATTAGGCATTGCAAGACTGTGTTAGTCACAGGCATGGCTCCTAGAGGCAGATGCATGATGGAATTTGTAGTTTCACCACAGCTGGAGGATAGAAGTTTGCTTACCCCTGCTATGGAGTGTCACTTGCGTGACAGCTCTGTGTTAGCTGGTGTTGCAGACATTACATCCAAGATGGCGGCACCAGGCAGCAGTCTCAGGCGTTTTAGGTGCCTAAACAAGGGAGGCTTTTGCAGGTTAATAATTTGCATGAAATATGCGAAATACACACAGGGGTCTATTCACTAAGCTGCCGTAGGCAGTCGAGTGAAAGACCGACCTGAAGTGTTCGGCAATTCACTTCAGGCTGGTACGGCTGATTTCAGCCATAGATCGGCTGAAATCAGCAGTACATCGGGTGGCTTCGGGTCGGTTGAACATGCTCACCTGGATCGGCTAGGCCGAACCTCCGGCAGGCTACTCGCTGCTGTTCGGTCTATTCTTATAGATGCCGAACAGCAGTGAGTGAATAGCCGAATGCCGCTGAGCGGCATTCGGCTCGGCTGTTCTGCTTGGTCCCTCAGAGGGACCGAGCAGAACAGAAAAATAAATAGAAGACGATTGTGCGGAGCTAGCAATGACAGCTAGCTCCGCCCAACAGTTTTCTATTGGCCGGCACTTCTGCTGCCGTAAAAAAATAAAAAAAACTCTCCCGGGCGCTCTGGGAGTCTCCCACTCCCAGCCGCCCAGAAGAGAAACGCCGCTTTTTCTTTATTATCACGGAGCATTGTACCCGCCCTCTGCTGATGGACCTGATGGAGAACTGCAGCAGAGGGCGGGTGCAATGCTATTTTACCATTGGCTATTGCAAATTGAAATAGCCAATAGGAATCTAGCAATGCATTCCTATGGGCAAAATGTTTTTTTTTTTTCTATTCTGACACGGCTCTGTCAGAATAAAGTTAAAAAAAGAAAAAGCAGTGTTTCTTTCCTGGGCGGCCGGGAGCGGCAGACTCCCAGAGCGCCAGGGAGAGTTTGCTGTCTGGAGATCAGTGTCCCTGGTTAGCAGGTAACCAGGGACGCTGATCTCTCTGCAAGTAGCCAGCCGTAATCTCATGGGAAGATTGTTGTTGAAATGAATAGTATGGTGACAGGGTCTTTTCAAGTACTGCTGTACACAGACATATTTGATGTGACTAACAGTAAAGCCCTGAGATATGAGATATTTTTAAATCTAAATATTAAAATTCAACATTTTGCTTTGCACAGCAGAACTAATGTATCTATACCTTTCTAATATTTGGTCAGTCAGTATACGGTATAAGAGGCCTTTATGTGACAATTATTACTTCACAAAATGTTCACGGTATAGAAACCAAACAGTTCCTGATTATACATAAAATGTTTATTAATAATAAAATAATTATAGCAATAAATAAAGTGTTATGACATCAATTACATTACACAACTGCATCAAATTATATTAAGTTGCTTAACAAAATATACTACTAGTGGCGTAAAATATGTACAACACAAGGTGGAAAAGATTTTGGTATAAATTAGCCGAGCCAGAAAAAAAAAGTGTACATGTGTCTGCTCATGTGTATAGTAAGGGAGGCGTGTGCCTAATGTGCTGGTGTACAGGTATGTGTATGCAATATTGTGTTCATAAAGGAAAACAATACAATAAATAGAGCATAATAGAACATATATACAATAACAGCAAAGAAACAGTAGATATACATGTAAACAAACAATAACTTCATTCAGACCTGCAAATTTTTTTTTAGTTAAAACAGTAACCATATACACCTTGCCTGCAGTGGATGCAGATACCAGTCATGAATGCCACCATAGCAGCTCAGGTAGCTGGGAGTGTTTGATGGCCATCAAAGGGAGCGCTTGAGATGCTGCCTGCCCTCATGCAAATCTCCAGTATTCACAGGAGCAAGAGGCAGCTGGAGGCAAGGAGCAAATAATCTTATCCTGTCTTCCCTACTGGGTCCCAATTGATACAGTATTTGTAGTAACTATCATAGGCAGACATGTTTGTTAAAGGCATGATACTGTCTACTGGTCAGTGGTTCACTTGCAGCTTTCCTGTCAGCAATATTAGTTTAGTGTAGCTTAGATCAGAAGACTTTGCCTGGTTTATAAACTGTTACATTCATCCTGCAAAGTTCTTAATAAATGTGAAAGATGCAGAGTTCTCACTCTTAACCTGTCAATGGTGTGAGACTCAGCAACCAGCTTTACTACAATATACTAGTCTTGCTAAAGGGAGGAATAGTCCTGTGTGTGGCAGTATGTAGCCATGTAAGAGAGAAACCAGGGCAACATGTCTCAAATTATACCCACTGGCATATTTTTGGTGTCTTTTTCTATCAGTCTATCATCTAAGTGGAAGGCCATGTTGCTTAAATCTATTAATATGCCCATTGTCTTCTCATTTAGAGTGATAGGCTTGCAGACTTTAAAGTCTAAAGTTATTTGTTTACTTAAAATGACACTAAACTCAGGAGTTAAATCTTAAAAATGCATTCAAGTACCTTGACTGTTTACTAAAATGTACCTTATTTGTGTATCATTTGGCTGTGGATCCTCAAATAATCTCTGAATTCATGGTGACATTGTCCTTCCTTCTGGAGGGTGGCTACTTTTGTTCCTCATGGTCCCTGTGGTGTGTGTTGTAAAGTAGCCACCAAGCTCACTCCAGTGATAGACTACAAACTCAATACAAATGAATAAACTAAACGTGAGATTATAGTGTATCATGGGAGCTCGGAATGGTGGCTACTTTACAACACACACAGGGACCATGGGGAACAAAAGTAGCCACCCTGCAGAAGGAAGGACAGTGTCAGCACCAACTCAGAGATACTACTTCTGCTGATGATTTGAGGATCTAGAGCCAAGTGATACACAAATAAGATACATTTTTGTTTATAGTTGAGGTACTTGAATGCATTTTTAAGATTTAACTCATGAGTTTAGTGTCACTTTAAGATTTGAAAAGTAGCACCATTAGCATACTCAGTTATGTTTACTTAACATGTTTAGATTCAAAGAGGTTGACAGCAGGCTGAGGGGGTCAGAGGAAAGGGACCTGAAATATTGAAGAGGCCAGGAATTTGTAGTTATTTTCTGATTAATATTACACAGGACACAATGAGCATAGATTGCCTGCAGAGCATACGTCATGTACATCTTTAGTGTCTACTTGGTTGAGAGGTTACTCACATATTGCATGCTGTCTGTAGGTGTGTCCTGCCTTCATTAAAGATGTCAACAGTGACTGTCATCTTCAGCCACTCTAGAGATCACTGATCTCACGGTCTTTTAACTACCACAGGCAGTCCATACATATACTTACTGAGTGGGAACACACACACACTTAAAGTATGCCTGCCATGAGAGAAATATGTTGGTTGCCATTGCTGAATGTTATTTTTCTGGCTGTCACGATGATGCTTTGGCATATACACTCTGTTCACAGACATAAGGAGTTCTAGCTTATCTCTGATTTGTATTTGCTGTTTGTTTTTTCAATCACTGAAGCCAACCAGACAACTAACATTTTCAGGAGGAGGCCAGTAATTATAGTAGCTCACATATTTCCCTCCAGACAGGTGTACGTTAAACATGTCTTCATTCAGACACAGACATGCACAGATACCAACAAATTCTCATGCACCCACACAAAAACAAATAATGGCAGCAATGTTCATCATATAAAGATAAGGAAATTCATCCTTGTGTTAAAGAAATAATTATTATGTATGATGCATTCTGAGGTGATCTGTTGAACAAGACATTCAATGCTTTGCATTTTCTTTAGACCTGTTAGATAATGTACAAAGTAGTGAAGCTACAACACTCTGACTACTAGATTGGCGGTATCCGAGCTTTTTTTTTCTCTTTCCACTTGCAATTGGGTTTCATTGGATTTCTAGCATGGAGAAAAGAGTACAAAATAACTGAAAAGTTCAACTCTGGGCATAAAATATTAAAAAATAAAATAAAAACAAAAATAGTCCCCCAGTAGGTCTATAAACTAATAAAGCAGCTCACCTTCAATCATCTGGAGTTGACCTTTTTAATAGCCTGGAGTAATACCTTTTTGCTACAAGATGTCCCCAGTCTTCCAGGTTCAAAGACTGTAGAGATCCTGTGAGTGCAGGGTATCATGGACCTGCCCCCTGAGGGGCATTACCACATTGACCTTCACTCACAGTGTCATCATGTCAGTGCCGTTCTCTGTATTATTGAAACCACCTAGCTCTAGAGAAGAGAAGAGGCACATCATGTGATCAGCCAAATGACATTTAGAAAATTTGAGTTGTTTTAAAAAAGCATAACATATTACCAGGGAGAACTCTGGGGGGTGCTTACCCTGAGTTGTGCTATAAAGGATAGCATGTAAGGGGTAGGGTCAATTGCCAAATAAATATGTTTAAAATAACTATTGCTAATCATGTGTATTTCACAAATGCCATCCAAGTTACATAAATAAGTAACCCTTCTCATTGTGTCAGTAAAACATCAGAGGCTTACAATTAAAGAATCAATGGAATGGAATAGTTGCTTATTAGGAGTATAATATTCTTTGACATCACTCAACATCAATTTAGCTTTAACTCAACATTTAAGGTTGCCTGCGTTTAAGCAGTTAATCACATCATAAGTACACCAAAATATCTGTTTGATTTGAACTCTGATCTGTTCAAATACTATCTCATGATGGCAATGTATATCAATGAAATACCCTGAATGGGTTCTTAGATGATATAGGTTGTATGGTGCTCTGTCCTCTCCATAGGAGCTTGAGATTAATCTGCTGAATCTGAGAATGCACTTCAGGCAAAGCATTGCCCTATTTTATGGTAAATGCCTTGGAATGTCCACAGAAAAGGTATGACAGGCTTCTCAATGGAAAGATGTTGGAGAATGGTTGTGAAGACACTATTTCACCTACGGATGTCTGTTGAACCGACCAGTTTTTCAGAACTTTCTGTAGCACTAAACGCAATTTTGTTGCTTACGGGTTTTCCACGTGCGTATGACTGCACTTTGTTGTTTTTCTCATTTTTGGAGGATTTAGCGCTTTCTCGTTCTAGGTCAAACTGGGAAGAAGAGTCAGAGTGACTGCGGATGGTTTTGCCTGTGTCTCCTTTGACAGGGTCCCCTTGCTTTTTGGGGGGATCGCTAGACCCGGTAGTACCATCTCCTTGCATAGCAGAAGTGCAGAAACTTAGAATGTAACAAAGGCTTCCCCAATTCTGTGCACATTGAGTTTGCACACTGCGGGTGATTGCATCTTTCACTTCATCCCCACAAGTAAGTAATACGTTTACCAGATCAACGTAGGGCCTAAGGAAAGAACACAATTAACCAGTATAAATTGGGATTTTAACCATTCTGTATTCTATCCACAATATGAAAAATGGTGTTTGTATTAAATATTATTTGATAAAAACCTTTGGCTTTTATCAACTAAATCATGTTTGCTAACACCGATAAATACACCACATTTTTTCTGTATATGCCAAAATTTGTAGTGTGTTCAACATCTATCTATCTATCTATCTATCTATCTATCTATCTATCTATCTATCTATCTATCTATCTATCTATCTATCTATGTATCATTGGTTAGCAGGCACATATGTTTTCTTTAATGGGCTGTACATAATGCAATGAAACAGTAAAGTTTCTATATTTAATTGATTATGGGCTTTGAACAATTGTGCAACATAGATTTTACTAGACTTCGGAATCTTCATTAGCACCAGATGATTTTATGCAGGGAGGGGTTTCCCCCTTCAGCATATACCCAGCTTTTCTTAGTCCTGCACTGTTCTGCTGCAATGACTAAGGAAAGAAGCCCTGTAGCAACAAACCCATTTTGCCTGTGTTTACACAGGGCTAGGGGCTCCTTTCCTGCCCAAATGGGACAACACTTGGCAAATAAGGATGCACCAAGCTGTCACATGGGGGAGAGAGTCACATGCTCACCCATTCCAGGAAATGCTGTGTATATTTTACTTAATTAATTTTTAATGCACTACGTGTCTAAATTCAAGAATGGATATTTTAAGATACAGATAAGCTTTCTCTGGCCTACTATTTGTCTGTAGTAGAATGCATTGAAAAGTAGCTTCTCAGTAGGACTTACAGTGTAAATCCCAAGTTCAGTTATGGTACCCACTGCGTGGTAACATAGAGAACCCCTCACCCCTACCACCACCACTTTCCTTCCACACAGCCACTGGATTTTCTTTGGACAATGCATTACAATAATGGATGCCATCTGTTTGGTGTAGCCTGCTATTGTGGAGAGTCCATAGGTCCATACAAGAAACATTTTATTATACTGGTTAGATTCCACTCAGCCAAGTAATGAAAGAACCAACAGGGTGGCACGCTGTTTAATTCAAAAGTAGGCTGCAAGAATTGGGGACCCCTACAATTAGCGGCCCAAATCAAATTCAAGGATTTCCATTTTACTTAGAATAACTTAATGTTCTCCTCATGTAGGACATTATTATCTAATTTGTTAATCTACACTTTCTATGCAAAAAGAAGTGAATAAATCGTATTGTGTTACAGCTGTAAACTTATTTCCATATTCACTGTTCACAAGTTCCGGAAGCTGCCATCATGTAGGCAGATACAAGTGAGTACTTTTAAGGTGTGAATACTACCTCTGGTGGTGAGCATGCATGTTATTTATTATTAACTTTGCTTGGATAGTGAAGACATTTCCCAGAATGCACAACTGAGTCTTATTACAAATGATGTAACACAGGGCAACAGCATTTGTAAACCATGTTGTTGAAATTACAGTTAAAAGAGAACTGACGTCTGAAAATAAAAACTTGTTAAGAGGTAGTAAATAAAAGTAATTCACCGGCACACACTTGAAGGGTTTTTAAAGTATTGATATGTTTATTTAATACCCAATGTCACATACTGTCATACGGTGCTAACGTTTCGGGTCCGCACAGGGATCCTTCATCAGAGCGACAGTGACACTGCGACAGTGTCCCTGTGCGGACCCGAAACGTTAGCACCGTATGACAGCATGCGACATTGGGTATTGAATAAACGTATCAATACTTTAAAAACCCTTCAAGTGTGTGCCGGTGAATTACTTTTATTTACTATTAGTGTTTTGCACGACGCCATCCGTCTGGTCACCACATATACCTTGTGGTTTTGAGACCGTGGCAGTGCGAATGGGATTTGGACTTTGTTGTTAAGGAGGTTGTTTTTTTGTCAAAAGAGACATGCAAAATCTCTTCTGCCAAAAAACTTATTTCCCTGGCTCCTAGCAATTTTTTATTATGTGTACATGGCCTAAGGTGCATGCACACTCCAGCCTCATTCCTGGCATCTGCAGTGATGTAACTCCTGTGAGCATATACAGGAGTTTCAACTATAATGGCCACCCAGTGGGCAAATAGAAGAGTGCAGGACTTGGAAGAAGCAGCAGAGAGTCAGGACCTGCATGCACTGGAGGAGAGCACACTAGTAGGTAAGTGTGCCATAATGTGCAAGTATGCTGGGCACATTATGGCAATAGATCCCCTCACCAAGTGGACTTAAGGTCCACTGTTAACAGATATGTCATATTTACTTCTGTATTCATTTTAAAAAATGGAAACGTGCTAAAGAGAACAGTATCACACTTCAAGTAGTGATATAAAGGTTTCCATGATGTGTAAACCCCGGACTGAGTAATAACTTGCAGATTTACTGAATTCTATTTCTCACATACTGAACTCTTATAATTCCAGTTTGTAAGTTTCTCAGCATCCGTGTATTCATATTATTGCATTGCAGAAATTTTACAGCACAGGATATTTGTGGTAAATTATGGATGACTTGATTCTATTCCAAATGTCAGTTTTGTGCTCCTGGCTACAATACCTTTCACACAAGGAATTCCAGAGTTAATGGCCGCAAAACGCCCCTGGCAATGCTGCAATGCTCTGACCATCATCACTTACTCATGTAACAGGAGGTCTTTGAAGTGAATCATCTCCACAATCACTTGAACATTATCCTTGGCAGCAGAGCAGAGGTCGTGCTTGGCGTAGCATTCCTTCTGTAGCTGGTATACCATCTCTTTAATAGCCGGGCACTTACGACTGATGCAGCTGAATTTGTGTCTCAGTCCATGTGCTTTGCATTTCAGTGCATCCTTGATAAATGATTTCCCCTGGAAAAAAAAGAAGAAGAAAATTACCTTTGGTTAAGGAAATGTCATCAAAGAACTGCTATTAATCTAATAACTATTATGCATTACTTTTTAACAAATGAAATTAAAAAAACGTAGTGGGTTTGATCAGTTTAAGGCAGGCTTCAAACGTTAGCATTGTTGTAGCGCGTGTGTTCCTGCCACGCACGGTAATGCAGCATGCAACTGCTGCATGGCACACCAGCACACAAAGGCAATGGATCTGCCTTACCATGTCTTGTGGTGTGCTACATTAAGAAAAAAGGGTCAGATCTGGTTTTGGTGCACTGGCTGCACATTGGCTGCCCATTTTAAAGTGACATTAAGCTCAGGAGTTAAACCTTAAACTTGCATTCAAGTACCTTAACTATTAACAATAATTTAGCTTATTTATATATCAGTCAGGTGAAGATCCTCAAATTATCTCTGAATTTATGCGGATACTGTCCTTACTACTGCAGGGTGGCTACTTTTGTTCCCCATGGTCTCTGTGTCTGTTGTAAAGTAGCCACCGCTCCAAGCTTTCTCCCATGATAGACTACAATCTAAGTAAACTAAACGTGAGATTGTAGTCTATTACGGGAGTGAGCCTCGAACAGAGGCTACTTTACAACACATACAGGGACCATGGGGAACAAAAGTGGCCACCCTCCAGAAGGAAGGAAAGTGTCAGCATGAATTCAGAGATGATTTGAGTATCTACAGCTGAGTTATACACAGATAAGCTAAATTTCTGTTAATAGGGTACTTGAATGCATTTTTAAGCTTTAACTCCTGAGTTTAGTGTCACTTTAAATATATGGGTTATCTAAACGTGCGTGCAGTAACACACCGCAAATGCATGAAGGTGCATTATAAGTTTTTTATCTCTTGTTTTATAGCTTTATTATATGTACACAATAGCTTTGTTTTGCAAATAAATATTTATAGCAGGGGACCCATAACACAGAATTTTTACAGAGCATTAGAAAAAGATCACAGAGCTCCAATTGCTGGTTGGACATGACAATATAAAATATTCATATACATATTTACCAACGTAGAAAACCCCCCCACATTTTTAAAAGTTATATATTTTTATTCCTGACCATAAAAAAGGAAAAATAAATAGATACAAAACTACTACACATTCCCTTTACATTTATTAGATTAATATTTTGTGTCTAAAGGGAAAACGTTATAGGAGAAAACCAACAGGGTTATTCACAAAAGGATGAAGAGTTTGGAGACGGCAGGAGAAGTGAACAATCTAGGCCAAAATAGCTGATTTGGAAAAATGATCCAATTCAGCTCACTTTCCAGTTCAGCTATGTGGTCCTAGATTGTTCACTTCTTCTGCCTTCTCCAAACTCTTCACTGTTTTGTGACTAACCTTGCAAGTTTCCATATCCGTACTTAACCATAGTCTATTGTTCCTGTCTAGGTAACACCATAGCCATATACTTTATCCCATCTCCTAACTAACTGCAGCCAAACACTAACGTTGCCAAAAATGCTAATGTGGTTAAGGTCTTAGTTCTGAATGATATTTGTAAAAATGTTTTCACATTTTCCTAAATGACTGCTTGTACATGTAAATATCACCAACTCATAACGTTGACAAAACTACTGTGTGGCTACTGGAGTAGAGTTGGGTGAATAAATATTCATATTGCTTTGAGGACAGATCCTCAAAATAACATGCTTCTGCGTTTCTTAAATATTTATATGGTGTACAGGAACAGTAGTAACAGTCTCAGTGATAGTTAAAACTGGCAGCTCATATTTAGCTGTGGAATTGATTTTTTTTTTGCAATTAGTGAGGCTTGCAAACAGTAGCAGCATCCCAATCTGATTCATTTTAATTTGAGAAAAAGGTTTTCAGGTAGTTTTAGCAGCAACATTTTTTCATGCTTTTCATCAAATGTTAATAGGCCTGCTTTGACTATCAGATAGAAATTGGCCAGTAGTTCAGTGTTGCTGACCTTGTTCTCAATGGTGCAAAACTATCCTGCTAGTGGCCAATTTCTCTCAAGCTGTCATTAAGAATTAAGAGAACACAGGTGATACAACAGTGACCAGTAGCAGAACAAGACTAGGTCCACACTTACTAGAAACGAAGAGAACAGGCTGGATTTTTATCACAAGAATTAAGATACTACAGTTGATACAGCAGTGTAAAACTGCGGCAGGATTGCTTTAATTAGGGATAATAGGCCTAACTGGTGTATGCCTAACCTTTTTTTTTTTTTTTTTTTTATAGGGGTAGGGGGGGATTTGATGATGTGAATGGGAACTGAAAACCCATAAAAAAAAACCCCC